CATTGATTTTGGCCCAGTATATATATATGTAAATATATTAATATTGATTTTGTGTTTGTGAAGTAGTAAGGAGATATATAGAAATATACCCAGTGATGTTTAGAGAGATACCATAAGGCAGTTTCTATCTTTCTGAAGGTTGTCTTACAGCGATATTCTCAACTCCTTTTATTAAATAATTACACTTTAAATAATATAACACCCAAAACAGCAGTTTTGTCAAATTCTGGCAGTAGTAATGAATTTAGTATAAGTATTGGTTTTTGAAGCTATACCTTTCTTAATATGAAAAAATAAAAATATCCATTTAAATTGATTGCACATTGTCTGTGATATAAACAAATAGAAAAGACTCTTACCCAAACATTAGTTAAATCCTAATCATGACCATTTTTGTTTATATTTAATTCTAAACTAAAATATATTAGCATTTTTAAACTAATTCATCTTAAAATTTTACTTTATATTTGAAGATTAGGTTAAAGTCCTGTGTTTCTCTCTTGGTTTGCTTTGAATTTCTGAGTTATTAGTCAAAAGATTACATGGTCTTTTAAGCTTTAAAAGTCAACACAACTCATTTGCCATACAAATCAAGATGTAGATCTTCCCTATTTCCATGACCTCCTTGAAAAACTTTTAAAGTTATCAATATGCTCTGTTTCCCAGGTAACTTAAATTACTTTTCTTACTGGAGTTGTTTTATTTCTTTTCTGTAAGCCTAAAAGTAGAAGTTTTATTTTATGCATTTTGGTAACCTGGAATTATCAATTCCAAAATGATTTGGCTTGTAATGATGATTTCTGCTTTCTTGTGTCTGGAGTACATAATTGTAATATTTACTTAGTTATTGATTTTTTTTTTCAAAATATTGCCTATTTTTAAAATTTTTGGAAGTTTTCCTTTACTGATTGGAAGCAGATTATTTTTTGCACTATTAAAATAAGTTTATTATATGAAATATTTTTTAAGCAGCATCTCCTTATGAATTAAAGAGTGTTTTTGCGATCTATCCAAAAGGCCTCTGAAGCTATGACAAAGAAAACTCCTTCTAGGTGTATCAGAACAATGCTCTCACCAATTGAGCTACCCAGCCAGGACTAGTATTATTTTTCTTTTAATATATTTTTACTAGAAGCTTAGTGCACAAAAATTTGTGCACTGGGGGGAGGGGGCAGTCCTTCAGCCTGGCCTGGCCCTCTCGCAGTCTGGGACCCCTCAGGGGATATCCACCTGCTGGCTTAGGCCCGCACCCTGGGGGATCGGTTCTAAGCTGGCAGTCAGACATCCCTCTGACAGCCCGGGAGCCCTCAGGGGATGTCCACTTGCCAGCAGGGAGCAGGCCTAAGCTGCAGTTGGACATCCTTAGCGCTGGCATTTACTTAATAAGAGCTTACTATGTGTGCCCATTCTATACTGGAGGGACATAAAAGAAATGTAAATCTATTTTCAAGCAACTTTTTTAATCTCATTGAAGAGATAAGACTGGGTTTTTTTTATAGATTGATTTAGAGGAATGTAGAGGGGGAGAGTTAGAAACGTGGATCAGAGAGAAACATTGATCAGGATCGCCTACACACACCCCTACTGGGGATCAAGCCCACAACTGGGGCATGTGCCCTTGACTGGAATCGAACCTGGGACCCTTCAGTCCACAGGCTGATGCTCTAGCCACTGAGCAAAACTGGCTAGGGCTAGTATTCTTATTTTTAAAAATGTTTAACCTCAATCTAATCATGAGGAAGTAAGTAACTAAATCTAGATTGTGGGACATTTTCCAGAAACCTGGCTTGGACTCTTCAAAAATGTCAATGTCATGAAATAAAAGCAAAACAAAAAGACAAGGGGATTCTCCTAGATTACAGGAGACTAAAGAGACAAAAAAACCAATGCTTAATCCTTGATTGAATTCTGTATTAAGAAAACAACATATAGCCCTAGTTGGTCCCACGTTCAATTCTGGTCAAGGGCATATGCCCAGTTTGTGGTCTCGATCCCCAGTAGGGGGCATGCAGGAGGCAGCAGATCAATGATTCTCTCTCATCATTGATGTTTCTGTCTCTCTTCCTCTCTCTGAAATCCACAAAAATAACCTATATAATAAAGAGGCAATATGCAAATTGACCCTAACACCCTCACAAGATGGCTGCCTACAACCAGGCCAGCAAGGGGGTTAGTGAGGGACAACCAAATGACTGAACAAGCAGGCTGCATGTATTGACCAGGCCGGCAGGGGGGCTAGTGAGGGATGACCAAAAAACTGAACAGCAGGCTGCATGGGGTGACCAGGTCGGCAAGGGGGGGCAGTTGGGGCAACCAGGCCAGCAGGGGGGGAAGTTGTGAGTAACCAGGCCAGCAGGGGGGCAGTTGGGGGTGACCAGGCCAGCGGAGGGGGGGCAGTTGGGGACAACCAGGCCAGCAGGAGGGGGGCAGTTAGGGAGTTAGGGGCAATCAGGCCAGTACGCAGAGGCTGTGAGGGGTGATCCGGGGGGCGGGGGTGT